AACCTATGACTATACTCCTGATCTTTTTCTCCTCCATACATGTGTGCTACGAAGTAGAAAACCAATCTGAGAAAGAAAAACGTTGAGGCAAATCAAAAGTCGCAAATGAAAGAATGCCACCGCTTCACTCGAACTGGCTGAGCTTTCAAAGAAAAATGGCTCGTTTTTCTCTCTGATTTCTTCTCACTGAAAGCGTATTTCTTATCCTCCAGACATGGACTGTCACGAGCGTGTTGTAAAACACGTGAAACTGCTTCCATTGAGACACTAACTTTTGAAGAAGTTTTGATTTCCGTACCCGTCTGGATAAAGTCGTATTATTTTCTCACGATACGGCGCTTCGTTAGAACGGATATTACGTCAGGGTTAGTAAATTCAGGCGCTTCTCCCCAAAGAACCAATATCACTGTAGAGTCCTTGAGCAATAATGGCTTCGCTTATGAAGCGACCCCGGACAAATTCCAGGTAGTGCACTCCAGAATTCACTCGTCTCGGTTTGCTAGTGATTGTTTCTTTTACGGAAAGTATGACAGCGGGTTTGACTGGCCTATAAGCTAAGAAGAAACTGGAGAATGACAATATGTTCAGAATGTTTGATTGCGATAAAAGAAAATGCCAGCGGAAAGCAGCAACATTGAGTGGACATACAGATTAATCGCGACAATAAGGCAAAGCAGGGGTATTTAGAAAAAAATAAGAGGAAGAAAAAAACTGATGCTTCTCAAAATGGATTTCCGTGTTAGGCTATTCTCTTTCGCTTTTATTAGGTCGCAACGAAAGTCCTGGCGGATTTCTTCAAAGTCCTGACAAACGGCTGCGCATTAACCTGGAGGGGAAATTTTTTAACCATATACAGGAATGGTAACATCCCTTCATATTTCCGAGTCTCACCTCCTGCAGGCCTTTTGGAGCCTGGAAAATGCCATAAGTTTCTACCCATGTACGCCACTGACTTCTTTGCGAATTTTGTATGGGACACACAGCGAGCGAAGCCTGCCGCAAAATATGCTCTGTGGAAGTAGGGGGAGTGGTAAGTGAAAAAACCTGCCAACTTTGGTTCAGAAGGCTCCGCGAAGGAAACTACAACCTCGAAGATGGACGCCCAACGAAAGTTAATTTCGAACGTTTGGAGCTGTTACTTCAAGACTTTCCGCATGCAAGCGCCATGGAGCTGGCAAAGGAGATGCACTGCTTCAACATGGCCACAGGTCGTGTTCATCACATGCTGGAAAAAGTTGAGAAACTTGGTCGATTGATCCCTCATGAGCTGACAGAGCATTGCAAGAAAAGAGGTATCGGGGTGTGCGGAGGTTTTCTTGCAAGGAGTCGCCGTTTCGACTGGTTGGATAATGTAATTACTGGAGATGAAAGGTGGGGGCTCTACCTATGTCATACCAGAAGAAGACAGTGAATGGGTGCGAACCAGAAGCCAGAGCCTGTTCCAAAGCAGGAGGTTCATCCCAAGAAAGTTCCTCTGTCAGTTTGGTGGAGAGTTCGGGGAACACGTCATTACGAGATGCCAGACAATACCATCGTCGACGCCGAGGTGTACTGCTCACAACCACGAAGGCTCGCAGTTGAAGTCGCGAAACTTCGCCCTGAGATGGACGAAGTTTTTCTTCTTCATGACAACGCGTGACCCCATGTTGCAAGGGTAACCCAGGACACATTGGCGGAACTTGGATCTGCGGTTTTACCCCATCCTCCATATTCGCCCAGGTCTTGCGCCTACGGATTACCACCCACTCCTTTCCCTGGCTCACTTCTCAAAGGATAAAAACTACGACAACTTTCAATAGTTGAAAGCGGACATGGGCACTTCTTCGACTCGAAGCCTGCCGAATTTTGAAGGAGAGGCATTTGTTTCCTTGTCGACCGATGGCGGACTGGTGTAAGTGCTTGTGGGAATTATTATTAGGGAATAAAGTTCAATTCAAAGAAAGATACGAGTTTTTGAAATTGAGGGTCGAATCCGCCATTACTTTCGTTGCGACCTAATACATGCTTGTTCACAGTTGCGCCTGTAGAGCCTTTTTCGAAACATACCCAGATGCAAGTATATTCGAAGCAATTGCAGCGTGAACTATAGTTAATGCGTGACAGTGTACTTTCTAAGGAAAGCATACCTGAGAAAGGTGACAAAAACACCATATTAATTATGGAGCGTAGAAGTCTGCACGGAACCAAATAAAATCAATGCTGAGAGCAACTTAGCTTGTTAATCAATCTCAGAAACCATTAAGGAACACCACTGCCTAGCAGAAAATTGACCTCACGCTGAAATGCGCTTACAGTAGAAAGACGGGTATTCCTCCCAATCACTCCAGAGTGTCAGCACCAGTTTTGAGGGAGAAGCTTCTTGGCCGCAAGTTAATTTGGAGGTCGTGTCAAAAGGTCTTCATGGAGCCTTAATCAGATTCGAGCTAAAGTGATAAACGTTGTCCAGGAAATGGACTGTCGACAAAACCCCCTCCGTTAACGGAGTTGCGATACGACCTCCTTCTTCCCTACGCCCATACGGCTTTATAGCAAAAAATGTTAGCTTCTGATGCCCGAGAGGAAGGCAGCACCGGGTGCGTGACTATTCAATCGTGGCGATAGCTGGTCGCGCGCCAGCGCCGCGCGATGCGACACACGTCGCGGCGTGGTTATGAATTCAGGGTGTTCTAGCATTGCGAGGATTGTAGGATTAGGACGAAGCCCCACCCCCCAGGTTTTTCGTGAAAAACACGGTATATGATCACCTGCCCCTTAAATACAGGATCCTTGTCCTTTGCCATTATTACAAACTTATTCTGTCATACTGATGTTAATGCCTTCCTCACCGTTCCACTGCGTCTTGGAACGTAATATTTTTCCGATTTAGCCAGATTATCGCTCTGTGATAACAATTCAGGCAGTTGATCAATAAAGAAGTCTCATTATGTTCAAAAGGACAACCTTTACATGGCACAAGCTCTGTACTGTGGGCTTAAATAACTGCGGAGATTTGAGGTGGTTCTTGTTGGCTCACTGATGTCTGGTCTAATCAATTCTCTAAGCCCATCAGCAACTTATGACAAGGACCGTTAAGCTAAGGCCCATACAAAAATCGCCGCAGCATTTGCCGCGCGCGACGCTGCCCGCCGCGTGAGCGGCGTGACCTCATTAGCCGACGATTGAATTGACCGTCTCCCAGGCAGCACCGTATGCTCCGCGGTTTAAATCCCAAGCAAAATTTTGCACTGACTGGCTTTTCTCTCTATCCTTTCAGGACTACTTAGCCTGTGCCACATTGGACAGGAAGTAGAAAACGGAAGGACATAATGAAACAGGCAGTTGAGCAGACTCGCGCTCTATTACAGGCACTAACCGTTCGCAGCCGCGTCGCGGTGCCTTTCGATTGGAGCGCACCAGTTGGGAAAGTTGCCAAATCTACACCACTACTTGACATTATAACTTTCTTTATCAACATTTAGAAAATGAAGGCAGATTCTGAATACACGAGATCTCTAACTACTAAATTGTACTGGACTTTTTTTCGAACACGTTTTACCCTGCGAGTTGGGGCGTCAAGGGCTTGTCAAGGACGTTAAAATTTGTATGTCTTTGAAACACAATCACTTCCTCCAATACCGTCGTTTCTTAAATCTAAGGAAGCCATTGTAAAAGAAATGGTTTGCATTATCTGACAGGTGCTACAGTTGTTACAAATGTTCTATGTTTCGCGAAATAGGGATATCTACATCGAGCACCTATAGAGGACGGCTTCCGAGCCAATCAAGACCCCTACTCCTCTTTCTTCGATGCGAGGAACATCTTTCAAACAACCCTCAAATTGCTTACAGGCATCATTTTGAAGGATTAAATAAGTAATGATACACATGATGTGGATCCATTCCGTTCTGGTATACGCCATGCAGTAACCCTACACGGAGTTAGTTGAAAGGTGCTTCGTAGACACGACAGCCTGCTTGTCTTGCACTGCCACGCGATTTCGCGTATGTGTGTTTGCTACAGGTTGACACGACCACACCAAGCAGTAGTACTTTATGCGTACAACCTCAAACTTGGGTAATTAAACGAGTAAACAACTTGTAAACATCAACAATAATTAGTAACAATGCTACTGAAGTCCCTAAAAGGAAATGAGAAAAACTGGGTGCCGAGGGCGGCCGTCGGTCTGCAGCCAATTCTCGCCAGATCGTGCGGTAGGTCGTCCTGCGGTCGGTCATGGAGTCGTGTCATCCACGACACTGCTTGTGCGGACCAAAAGGTTCTCCTGGTATTGCTTAAGCAGAATAATTCTTATGGCATAGTAAGGTGTGATCGTTTCTTCATTTACGCCGCTTTCCAACCCTGTTGCGATGGTTGTGTTCGCGGCTGCAGCATGACATGATGTCGGAAGGCTGCGAGTATACCCGCTTCAAACTGTTCAATGAGTTCCTGCTCCTAAAAGGTTCTTAAATCGTGTACACCAACTTAGATTGCATATTCTATCATTCATTTATAACATGAATCTTTATAACATGAATCTATGAATCTTTTTGCAAGGCGTTCATCCTCCCTAGGTCACCATCACTTCTAGCACAGCAACAAGCAGTTCCCATTCGAATATATTATTTCACACAGTCGTATGATACCACTTGCTTCGGACGAACCAAAAAACTCGTAAAATTGGTGTTGGCACAGCGAGCGAGTTGCAGCACATCGCTGTGTGCCCTTGTTGGTCCTTATGCTTACGACCCCTCACCTCACTTCGATGCAAATATGACCCCTGTCAAAGATTTCCTTGATCGTTGTTCACCCTGAATATGTCACCTTGAACACGTTGGGAAACTTCAACCACACGCGTTCTGTACCAGCTTATTAATTCAACAAAGATCCGGAAAGCAAGAAAAACTGTTTTCTTAAAGACTTATTTGAGAGGCAACACCTCTTCTGAATATCTCCTAGGCACGTACCAGTGTTTGAAAGAAACTTTTCATCAAAAGCATCTTCTCTTCAATGATATATTCTAGATGGAAGCGCTTTTGGAAGCCATGCGATTCCGAGAAGAACTCGACATTCAGGAGCGGCAAAGACGTCGACTGTTGAAGGCCAAGACGAAGGTTAAAAATTTCTATCTTCTCCTAGTCTTTGCTCCCATTGAAAGTTTCTGATTTTCTTTTCCATTAAGTTCACCCATAGTTTTCATAGGTTTTATTTTTTTCATTCATTTTACCACATAGACGGCAGCCATGTATACCGCCATTCCCAAACGACGTAGGTAGCACCTCGTGGGGCCGTACTATGTTATGCCTCAGCGACTTACATTCATTTTTTCACGCATGCCCACTTTTTACCGAGTTTGTACTCTTTCTGTTGCTGCTTCAAAAATGCTTCTTGTAGAAAGTCACAGTGATGTTCTTTTTCAACAAGCTAAGTAATAGAGGTGATTCTATAACAACTCTCCCTGATCGAGGTCGCACTGAAGTGAGATGCTCACAAGGCAAGAAGAATTTTGCAGGTGTCGGCATGGCTAACGAGGACAAATGGGGATGCTCGAGGATGGAAGAGTAGTCCTGCCTTGATGCAACAAAGGCGAACAACAAGGTATACCGTTCTAAGTCGTTAGTAAACTTAAGGTTTCCCCTTTCAGATAGAGTTCTAAGTGCCTGCATGCAAAACTCTGCTCGAAGTAAGGCAAGCGAAAGTTCATAGAAAAAGTTCGTAGCGAAAACAAGGCAGTCGTGCATGCAAAGCAACTGCAAATGTAATGATGGTGTATTGGCGAAGGGCTAAGGCCGATGTCATAGTTTGCGAATCGAGCGATTCGCTAGCGAATCGCTGGATCCGAGCGTTGCGCCAGCGAATCGAACGTTGCACCAGCGAATCGAACTTTGCGCCAGCGAATCGACCGATGCACCAGCGAGTCGAACGATGTACCAGCGACTCGACACTGTATGAAAGGGCCGTGTAGCAAGAGAATCGTGGTCGCGGCCGCGACGTTGCAACTGTAGTGGACGAGTTGAGCGTCATTCCATTGAATTTCAAGGGGACGCTAAACCGAGTCCTCCCCTTTTGCAGAAGGTTCGCCGTGGTCTTAAATGCTTGAGTGCTCAGCGCTACAATGTCCCTTCCCCTCCAAGTTGACATCTCCTAACCGTGACCGCGTGTCACCCTACATATGAAAAATTTGCATGTTGCATGAGAAAACAGAGTTTTTTAGAGGTAGGGCCTAAATCTCGCAAAATCTCACCTGTGAGCGGTTTCCGCATTGGACAAAAGAAAATACAGCGAAAAAATTAGAGCATTCCAGAAGGTTTGATGTCATCCATGATCAGGGAATGTGCGATTCTTCAATGAAGCAGTAATCGGCGAAGAATAACGACAGCTCTGCTGACAGCCAGCGTTTGCGTAATTTCAATTAAATACTATTGATCTTGAGTAGGACGATCCCTTAAGATCGCACGAGTCGTGAGCTATGAGGAGGGCCTAAAAATAAGAAGTTGAAGTTGATGGGCCAAAAGGGTTAATGTGGACCGCAGCAAATCTGTCGCTCCAATCGACAAAGTCAATTATTGCCGCGCCCATCGAAAAAGTGCCGCATTACGGCGCCGCGCAAGTAACCGCGCGCGACGGCGCCACTCCCGGACGATTCTGTTGCACGCTCCCCGTATGAAAGTGGTGGAACCTGACGTTTGAAGGAAGTTCACTTTGAAAGGCCACACTGTTTGATAATGGCGGGCCTTCCTTTAAACGTTGGGTCCCGCCACTTCCATGTGAGTCGCTGGTACATAGTTCGACTCGCTGGTGCATCGGTTCGATTCGCTGGCGCAAAGTTCGATTCGCTGGTGCAACGTTCGATTCGCTGGCGCAACGCTCGGATCCAGCGAATTCGCAAACTACAGTAGCGGTCAAAAGTGTTCGCCGAAACGATTTTTAGTGCATTATTTTTTCTCGCTTGAGCAACGCCCTCCAAAGATTGATATACTATGTTTTCTAGTGTTTTTATATCCTCAAGCCTTAAAGAATCAGGATATTCAAAAGAAAAATTTTCGAGGCCACCATTGATTTTTTTCTGGCAAAAAAGGAGAAGCACGGAAAACCGTTTCGGCGAACACTTTTGACCGCTACTGTATATCATCGGCCTAAAAAGGATGTAGGGTATGCCGCTCCACGCACGGTAAAAAAGACCAGTGGCAGCGAAGGTGTCACCAGTGTCTGTTCCTCCACTGGTTGGGGAGATAACAAAATTGTCTTTTGGTCGTTCATGACATACACAATTGCGGAAATGGTTCTATAGATGAACACTTTTCGATGTAAGACGAAGTGTTCCTTGAAACTGTCTATAACACTAAACTAACGCCGTGGATGCCAGGGCGTACTCACCATTAAAGGCAAGCTAGAGTCAGTTAGACTTTGAAAGCTAAAGTAAGGGAGCCTTGGTGTGATGGAGAGACAGATCGAGCAGAGAAGGCAACACACGTGAGAAAGCACCCTGATCTCTACATCGATCGCGGTGGGAGAGGGAGGGGCAGTGCTGCAGATACTTACTAATTAGCGCCATAACCACGCATTTCGTAGAACGAAGCTAGCATGGTTGCAGGTACGGATCCGAAACGTAAACTCGTTGCGTGGCCCTAGTAGCGAGCCTAATCCCGAGGCTTGCCTTTGAGCGCTAACCTAGCGCCATAATTTTCCCACTCATCCATTTAAAGTTTCGTATGAGCCTCAGTGAAGATTTTAATGACGAGAAATGAAAATCCACTCAATCATCGTAGGTCTTCATTCGAATTACGTGGAAACTTGAACTCCTTTTCTGGTCAGATATCCCATCACAATTCCAAACTCATAGCCGTTTGATTCGCATTCTTCTGTAATCTGTGACCCCTTTCAGTACAAATATTAGATCAACTAAACTGTCGCAACCGGAGCAGGTCGCGATAGCTCATGTGAAATAGTGGCCATTACTTCAAGCCTTTCATTACCACTGCTTCTGCAGCGATATTATTTACATTTGAGGTCCAATTTTGTTTCGCAGTCAGTTAAATAGTTACACATCAGAAATCAAATAAAAAAACATGTCAAGTTTTGAAGGATGGTTGTAGACAATAAGTTGCTTAGCCACTCGAAAGCTCGTTCTTCTCTCACAGATTCTCTATTACAGCTCGACGATTTCCGAAATCCCACGCGTTGTGGTGACCGAGGCCGGAGACGTCAGGCAGGAGCGATCCAGAACTCCATGTCTTTCGCTTATGTACAATTTTGCGGAAGAAGAACAAGAACGATCGCTGTCCTCCAGATGCTCTTTCAGTCTTGATTTGGATCAGACCCCTGCTATGGGAGATGTGCCAATGCATTCGCTTAGCCTCGATTCTTGTTAGCGAAGTTCATTCGTAAGCGAAGAAAGAACAGAAATTAAGCGGTTGGCTCATCTCGGCACGGGTGAAGCATTCAGATCGAGACCAAAATTGTTCGACTGAGAACGACGAAAACATTTTTGAACGGGTATTAGTTTAGATAAATCATTTGTGATAGCGGAAGAGTAGCTATGAGCGGCAGAAATTTCTTTGGCAGAAATCAGTTGTCGTTGATACGTTATCGATGTGTAGCAGTAACATATGATCAAGTCTGTTAACATCATATGTACATATAATTAACTTGTATCATAATATAACAGTTATTTCGCTCAAATGAGCAACGAGCTGAGTGAAGTACGATTTATTCCTTTGTTTCCCGCTGCCTTCAAAATGACTGGTAGCTAGTCGTTGTGTAACACACGATACGCACCCTGTCCCGCGTCTATAAATATGTTTTTTGTTCCTACACAAAGTCTTGTAAGATGTAGTGCAATAAAAAATTATTGTTTCTACAGCCTGTAGAATAAGGTTTAAAGGATAAAGGATAAAGCATTTGCCGTTGATCAATCCCTTTTGGGATGCGGCACGCATTCTACTTCCATTTGTACATTCGCAGTGGCGTTTGAATGCGATGTGGCCTATACAATGACTTGCGGGGGCCAGCCGATGTACAAGTCAGTGTTTTTATCCTCCCAGACAAGTCTGGTACCAATTAACCGACCCCGGAGGGATGGAAGGCTTGGTTGGCCCGGGCGACTCACGACCCAGGATTTGATCCCCGGACCGCTCGCGTGGTAAGCGTGCCACTTGCCACTACACCACTTCCGTCCGTTAGCAAGAAGCGCTCAAATTTGTGAGCAACTCCTCGCAAACTCTTTGCAAAGGTAGCTATAAGCATGCCGTTGACCACGTGTTATAGTTGGCGAGAGTTTCTCAATCAATGCCACTGCGAAAGCAAAAAGGAATCGACAGGGATCGAAAAACGAACTCGTGAACCGGGCACTATCGCTGCTTGCTATTGTGTTCCATAATCCGGGGGGCGTCAAGAGATTGATTGGCAAGTTTGGAAAGCAAATTCTAAGTCAGCATTCGAAAACATTAGATAGGACTCATTGCATATGGCCGTTTCTTGCATCGCTCTTTCCTGGTTACATGTTAAAATCCTCAGTGGCGCCAATAGTTGCAAACACCACTGATATTCGCAAATCGACTTCGCTTTTTGGGTCTGTGTAGGCGCAAACGCATATGATGATTCGAGTTCGTCAATCGCTTGCGAAGGATTCTACCTCACTCACACCTTTCTTGCGAAAAGAGCCCTGGCCTTCTCTGGTATTATGTGGCTTATCGTTAGCGTTGCGCTTTCACCTCACTATGCCGTTTCACGTGGTTGATCGGTACACTTGTAAATAAGAGTTCATAAGTGCCTATAAACATGCATGTGGCGTATGAGCAACATTACCGACTGGACCTACGTATTTGCCTTGAAAGTCTGCCGCTTTGGAAGCTTGGCGGGACTTGCAGCTTTTCTTTCATTTCGCTAGACTCCTACTTCTGTCACTTTTATTGCAAGCTTCTTGAGTCTCGGCCTTTCTTCTCTTGGCCCTGCGATGTTTTTTAAGCCATTATTTATCCCTGCTCTGTGTAATCGGTGCACGTACATATTCGAGCGTTTGAAGAAGTAAATAAATGAGCAATATATAAGTAACGCTTTTTGCTTCCCTATTGTGAATGAAGCCCAATTTCCAACTGTGGTACTGGGTACCGTGTGGTATTGGTCAGAAAAGTACATGAAATTCATGAGTTTCGCGTCGTTTATTCCGTCATTTTGTAGGTTTAATTATCATAAGTAAAAGCCCTACAAATGAACCACGAAAATTAGCTCACCTTGCCTGAAAATTGTGCACGCTTCCATACGCAACATATAAACAGAAGAATAATGAAACATAGAAATAACTACTAATAGTATAATTAAAAAGACAAGTTGTTACAGCGACCCTCGAATCACCGAGGGCAGTGATAACTTGTCCAGTGAAATCATCGGGGAGAAGATGGCGCCGTTTCCCAAAGTTGTGACCATTTTGCTTGTATTTCACTGACGCGCCATTTGGCACCTATTGTTCCACATTTCATTGAAATCGGTTTCGTCCTCAAATACCTCGAATCATGGTATAAAAGGCAAAATAACGTTGAAACGACGAGGACTTCATAACCCTATAATCTTACTATATATAATCGGCTAAGTGTGTCTGTTGGAGTGTTGTTTGTGTGTATGTTTGACTAGAAATTCATAGCGCGGCCACCTAGGGGGAGAGTTGGGAAACTGATGATGGGAACATATTCGGTGGGGAAAGAATGATAACAACTGATAAGGGCTGATAAAAAGCGCTAGAGTACAGTACTCGCCGTTTGAAATCGAAAATTCACGCGAATAACGCGAATCCTCGTTAATTTCGTGAATTCGTTATAACTCGGTTCAAAATTGAGCTTTCGAGAATCCGAAGATATCTTTGAATTCAGCTCGTCGGACACTATAAGAATGTGCTTTGATACTTTGGAAAAGCTCCATATAGGATTGCGCCATGCACTCGATTTTCATCTCAAAAAGTAGTTGCTCGCATGTGATGTGTATATAATCCCGCTTATGCGGGCTAACCGCTACACACAGAGAAGGGCCTCAAAACTTACCCCAGAATGCGCCACGTACTCAATCTCATCCACTACATTGTGAGATTAGATGAATGTTATTTTCCGAATTCTTAGATCTTCATTTCGTTTTTAAGCGCTTACTGGCTTTACGTGTTCCCTCTGCTCTCAATATCCCATCCTCTGTATATCAAGTGGAATCTTTGAACAGTTCTCAGCAGGCATAGTGGGCCTATTATGTGACATTTTCCATTTTCAGAGGACATGTTTTGCAGAAAGCTGTGAAGATAGCGAACAATTCCTTCACTGTCGTAGACTACGGTCACTTGTCTGTAAGGATTATATGGAAACCTTGGTCGCAGGTGAGCGTTTCTTCCGTGGTGTGACCCCAAACATCACCCCTTGTCATGCCTTTGCCCCCTATTACGTGACAAGTCCCATTTTTAGAGGAATGTTTTGTAGAAAGCTGTAAAGGAAGCGAAGAATTTCCTTCACTGTCGTAGACTATGGTCACTTGTCTGTAGGAATTATGTGGAAAACTCGGTCGCAAGTGAGCGTTCCTTCCGTGGTGTGGCCCCAAACATGCCTCCTCGTCATGCCCTTGTGGAAAGTTCAGATTTTTTGCATTTCCAGATGAACTCGCAGACCTGAAATGTGCCCCGTTAGCTTCCCCGTGAAAAATGCTATCGAATGATATGCATTACTTCCCCAGTTGAAACTTTGGTTTTTCACCGTTTTCAGCCTTCCCCTATTGCCGGATTGGGCACACGATTACTGCCCCAAAATCTCAAAGTTTCATTTTTCGTCGAAACTTTGTCTATTGGGGTAATTCGATGCCCTGATTACGAATATGACATTCGTTTTTGGCGCCGTTTGGCGCCAATTTGGCGCCACGGCTGTTTCCACCAAGTTATTTGGGGTCCTGATCACGAATATAACATCCAGTCTTGACGCCGGCGCCATGTGGTGTCACAAACAACACTTCACAGTCAGAGCGTACTCTTAGGCACCTTTCTCAGAGCGCCGACTGTCAGACCGTGGAAAAGGTCATCGAATCGGAGACTTTCCCACGACAGGAAGGAGCCAGACCGTGGAAAACTGTGAGCTAAGCCAGAAGCATATTTCACGTTTTCACTGGAGATGCCTGTATGCGTTGGGCAGAGCAGCAATTCGACTGTAAGCTCTCCAGCTGTCCACTGAGGATGGTAGTACCGTGCTCGATGTACTACTTCATGATGAGCCGCAGTAGAGTTGAAACGTCTTTCCTTCGGACCATCCGAAGGAGTCCACTTCCTCTTTCAATGCCTCCAAACAGCCACTTGTGCCTGCGTTTATAAGAATTCGGAAAATAACATTCATCTAATCTCACAATGTAGTGGATGAGATTGAGTACGTGGCGCATTCTGGGGTAAGTTTTGAGGCCCTTCTCTGTGTGTAGCGGTCAGCCCGCATAAGCGGGATTATATACACATCACATGCGAGCAACTACTTTTTGAGATGAAAATCGAGTGCATGGCGCAATCCTATATGGAGCTTTTCCAAAGTATCAAAGCACATTCTTATAGTGTCCGACGAGCTGAATTCAAAGATATCTTCGGATTCTCGAAAGCTCAATTTTGAACCGAGTTATAACGAATTCACGAAATTAACGAGGATTCGCGTTATTCGCGTGAATTTTCGATTTCAAACGGCGAGTACTGTAAGTGTCGCGAAATTCATAGCTCGGGCACCAGTGGTCGTCAGGAGTTGGTTTCAGGATATGATATAGGGGTGGGACGGGAACATATTTGGTGGGGGAAAGTGATAACAACTGGTATTGTAGGGAATTATAAGTTAGAAGTTTGAGCTCAATCTCAGAGTCAGATTCTTTGAGGGTGGTATAAACAGATATGAAAAACATAGCGAGTGTTCAATCGTTTCGACTAGCCAAAACAAAAAGTGCACCAAAAGCATTGAAAGGTGTAGACATGAATTTTTACAGCTCATTATACATTTGACAAAGCAATGTAATCAATCCGTAGCTCTGCGGTATTCTGAAAAACATTCATGAAGAAGAAAGCTGTAGCTTAGCGCGATAATCCTAATGATCCGGTAGTTCACAGCTTAAGAGGTTGCGGCAGTGTCTTTTCGCTCTAAACCTGAATTTACTGACCCCTAAAAAGAGTCTGCTTGAGAGAAGGCCTAACGGGCAGATTTTTCTTTGAATAGTTAAATGCAGTAAAAAGAACTGAAAGGTGATCTTGGTGGAAGCCTGGTCAGTTCTTCTTAACCTTCGGAAGAAGCACACCATTTCCATGTAGATCTAGTACATATTGTACCTGCAGCTTGATACATTATTTCGTTTTGGGGAATTAAACAATAATAAGGACAAGCGAATATTC